GGGCGCGGCCGCCTGGCAGGCGACCCTATCGCGCTCCCGCAGCTGCGCCCCCGCCTCCCAGGTCTCCGGTGGACCCCTCTGCCCCCACCAGGGGTTCGTCCTTCCACAGGGCAGGGAGGAGGCAAGCGAGGGACCCCTAAGGAGGGGGAGCCGGTGGTTCCGGGAGGATCAGAGACCGACTGCAGGGTCTGGTCTCCCTGCCCGGAGCCGCTGTCCCCCCCTGGGATCGTGGGGTCGCCGTTACCTGTTGCTGACGTCATGAACCCCTGCTCCCCCTGCCCCAGGCACTCACGCAGCGGACCAAGCAAACTCCAGCCCGCAGCTGAGGGTCCACAGCAGGAGAGAAGATGCGGGCGCCCATTGTAAGTGTGGGGCTCGGGGGCTGGGCCGGGCCGTGTTTTGGTGGTGACTCCCGGAGTTCTGACGTCAAAGGCCACACCTCCACCCGCCCTGGCATCGGGTGTCAGGTGTGGGCAGCAAGCACCTGCTGGGGTTGTCTCAGTGTTTGAACTTGCGTGGGCCCCGGGGAAGGCAGGTCCTGCAGGAAGAGGGGGGCAGCCAGGGGCGCCTTGCCCCTCAAAGGCCAGACCCCTGCACCGGCTCCCGGGCCTGGACCTGCGGCCCCAGGTGCCGCTGGGGTCTGATCACAGTGGCTTTTTCTGGTCTCAGCTGATGCGCCTTGTGACCGCCCTGCCAGCGACTGCCCAGCTTGCACTTTTTCTCTAAAACCCGTGATGCGGCTCAGGGGTCAGAAAGGGGCTTAGCAAATGCTTCCTTCCAACTTGGCACTTTTGGCTGCAGAGGGAGCCCAGCGCAGCCTGGGGGGCAGACCCGCCTGGGACCTGCTCCCGAGCCCCTGGCTGTGGAACTTGGGCCAAGTTTCAAATCCATTCTGTTTCTCGAGTGAAGATCTTATGACTTAAGACTGAGGAAGTGCTCACAACAGTGCTTTGCACACACATGAAGTGCTCAACCGCAATTCTCTACTGTGATTATGATTTATTATTATTATTAAACAGCTTCACAAGTGCCTGGGGGCACCTAGCATATTTGCTACCTGGAGTGGTCATTTTTAAATATCCCTCTCCTTCATCTGACAACATTGTTTTCAGTAATAATAATGAAATGAATAATAATGAATAGTAATAATAAACAGTAAAACTTTTCTTTTATGGAGCTTTGTATATGAACTCAGGCCAGTGAAAAAATAAAAAAGTGAAAAGTAAATGTTATAGAGAAAAATAGAAAAAAGTAATGGATTAATTGCTTTAATGTATTTTTGAAAAAAAGTTATTCTTACATACAGGTTGGTCACAGGAAGGAATTAACATTACAGTTTCTGTTTTGGAACTTTAACTTCTGAAAAATTGTCCATGACTTTGTCAAAGTTGTTCTTCTTAAAGAAATTTTAAAAATTATTCTTTGCTTATTAATGTTCACAATTCAGTAGAGCTAACTTGTCAGTTCGTCATTGCTCACAGTTGATTGAAGAACACTTTTTATTAATTTTAATTTCAAAAGCTTCTCTCAGATGAAACAACAGATATACAAATAGGAAAGGCCATAAACATTAGGATGAGTTTGTCAGAGATTCATTAAAAACCCCATTTCATAATACACTCCAGAAATTGCAATACTGCCTATATCTTCTGAAAAATCAATTCTGGTGGCTCTTAAATACCTCCACATTTGAAACATTTTTACTAAAACATCTTCACTAGAAAAATCATCATAAGTTTTTATCTTATTTGGCAAAATTCTCCCATGTTGTTTTTTTTTTTCCTGCAAAAATCAGAGGAGATGGCTGAGTGATGGAGACACTTGTTTAATCCGTTGCTTTCAAATGAGAGTCTAGTTCTTGGTGGAAATGATCCAGGCTTTCAAACACTTCCGTTTGGGTTTCTTGGGGCACTGGGCAAGCAGGCTCTTTGTCTTGTTTCAGCACAGAAAGATGTTGGCGACACAAATCCTGTCAGAAGGGAGCTCGGACCCTGCTGAGCTGTTGGGGAAATTACCTTTGGGACAGACACGTGTAGCCGAGCGTGTACTGGGGGCTGACTGTCTAACCCAGTGGTTCTCAACCTTCTGGCCCTTTAAATACAGTTCCTCATGTTGTGACCCAACCATAAAATTATTTTCGTTGCTACTTCATCACTGTAATGTTGCTACTGTTATGAATCTGATATGCAGGATGGTCTTAGGCGACCCCTGTGAAAGGGTCGTTTGACTGCCAGAGTGGTTGCGACCCACAGGTTGAGATCCGCTGGTCTAACTGGATGCTCTGATTAAACTTTCATGTAGAGGACAGGGTTTTAAAGAATAAGAAATAAAAAACAGGCTAGCTTGAGGCTCACATCTATATTATTAAATCTCAGAAATACAACTTAAATCTGCAGAAATAAAAACTTAGAGCGACAAAATCGCTTTGGGGAGAGTTGTATTTTATCGCTGATGGTCTTTAAAATTGTCAGCATGTGGAGATGATAAACAGGAGACTGACTTTTCATGTGTCTTATTATTGCTTTGAAATTCTCCATGGACAACTCACTCCTCTTTGCACCCAGGGAATATGGCTGGCACCTCCCCGCGCTGGGTGCGTCGCTGCCCGGCTCTTAGGGCTTGACAAAGGTTAGCTGTTGGTACAGCAGCTCCCCAGACCACCCTGGGATGGAGAGGCTGGTCTATGGTAGGGCCCTGGCTTCCCTAAGCCCTCTGTCCAGCCCGGAACGCCTCCCGGTCAGTGCCAGTGCTGGTGTGTCCCTGTTTCTCTCCTGTCTGTGTTCCAAATGTGCTTAGAGTAAGTGGGCCAGGAGCCTCTGTCCCCCCTTTCCCCCCCTCTTCCGCCTCCTCCACCCCCTGTCCTTAATCTGTGTCTTGTTGAGCAGCTGCTGCTGGGGAAGTGAATATCCAAGTGAAACTGAGAGTCTAGAACATGAGGAAATGGGTGGGCCTGGTCTGGTCTCCGACTTTCTGGACTCGCTTCTCTCTGACCCTCTGTTTGCCTGATCTAGCAGGTCTCTGCGGAGCTGCCTAAGGAGCAGAGAGGGGCAGGGAGAAGAGGACCCTCCTCAAAGAGCAGTGGGGCTTCCGGCCCTACAGAGTACCCCCCCACCCCCCCAGGAGCCCAGGCTGGGAGGGCCGCAAGCCTCTGCTGAGAACCATTAAGTGCCAGGCTGGCGGCTCAGCCTAGCTGGCGGGCTGGGCATGGAAAGTGATCACTCCTTCCCCTGGGCTCAGCCCACAGTTAGAGTCACTGGGCAGCGGGGCTGTGGCTTTGGAGGCAGCAGCGACTCTGCTGGGGCTTCGGGGAGGCAGTGAGGGTGGAGACGTTGAGCCTGTCTTGAGGGATGAGTAGGAGTTTGCCAGGGAACAGCCAAGAGAATTTCAGGCCTCGAGTACAAGGATGCAGAGGCAAAGTGTGCCATGGGGCTGTCATCGGATTACAGGACCTTCGCGTGAATTGCGTGGCATTGTGGAAAAGAACTTGGCCTTGGGACCTGGCACTACCTCTCGGAGAGCTCTGAGACCTTGGGCAAGTTCCTTCCCATCTCTGAGCCTTTTCCTGGTGAACGGGACCGCTGTAGGATCCAGATGTGTGACACCCCAGCAGTGCCTGGTGGGGATGGAGGTGGTTTCCAGATGAGTCGCGGGCAGTCCCGACTCACGTGGGGTGGGGTTTGGACACAGAACAGACCTGTGGCCTGGAGGGCAAGAGCCTGGGAGGGTGGATGAGTTTTTTCCCAGAATACCCGTGACCTTTGGGCCGCTGGGGCTGGGCCTGGTGCCTGCTGGAACCGACACTGTCCCTTTCCCAGCAGCTGGCAAGGGCAGAGGTAATGTGTCAGCCCAACCCCTCCTCCATCTTCTCTCTGGGCCTGAGGCTGGGGAGGCTGGGCAGTCAGGCCTCTTCCTCACGCTCCCTGTACCCACCCCGCCTGGGGCACAGGTCTCAGCCCTCTCCTGGGCACAAGTAGTTCTACAGTTTTCCCCTGTTATCTTACTCATTTTCCACACAGACCCTGCCTGTTGGATCATAATAGCCCCATTCTACCAGAGAAGCTCAGAGAGGTTAAGTGACTCCTAGAGGTCACACAGCAGTATTGCAGAGAGGGGCTCAGTCTCAGCTGGACTGTGGAAGGCACCTCAGATAGCCGGGATGGACAGCCAAGTCCTCATGGCTTTCTTCTCTTCCTAGGACGCCGTCACAGAAACTCCCCTCTCCCAGCTGGCCAGTCCCTTCCCAGCACCCACCTGGGACTGCAGTCCTTTTTGTTTTGAAATCCTCAGTTTCTAGACATTTGCCCCGAGTGTGAGAAATGCAGGGGCTGAGGCTCGGGGTTGCCACACTCACACAGCAGGGAGAGGAACTTGCTCCCAGATTGGGTTTCACAACATCCCCAGTGTCTCCAGCTAGTCCCGGAACCGCCTCCGACCTTTCCAAGTCCAAAATAGAACAGTGGCAGCAAACCCGCCACCTGTGGCCTGGCTGGGGAGCTCCGTTGGTTAGAGCATCCCCCCCGTCTCGCCAAGGTTCTGGGTTCGATCTCCAGTCAGGACACTGCAGGAATCAGCCAGTGAGCGCATAGGTAAGTGCAGCAACAACCCCACGTCTCTGTCTCTCAAAATCAAACAAAACAAACAAACCCCCTGCCGCCTCTAGCACGCGCCCTCCGTGCCGGGCGGTACTTGCTGGGTGTGTCTCGGGTATGAACTTACTTGATCCTCAGGAGAACCCCAGGAATCAGGTGCTCTCATGCCTCCCGTTTTACAGTGGAGGAAATGGATGCCGGGAGAAAATGAGTAGCTTGCCCCAGACTGTCCAGTTAGTAAGTAGCAGAGCCGGGATTTGAACCCGGGCCACCTGGCTCTGAGCCCCGGCTGTGACCAGTGTACTGTTTCTGAAGACTGAATCCACCTTGACTGAAACACAGCCCACTCGCTGCGTTTTTTCTACGCCTGAAACACTTCATTACCAGACCAAAGTGGCAGACGCCCGACGGGGGGGCTAAGTGGGGCCGAGTGTGGGTGGACTGGAACACTTCCTAGTGAAAAGGCCTCCGGGAAAAGCATTCTCTTCGTTGTGTTTCAACCCTCGGATTGAAAATTCCTCTAAAAGTGCCCTCGCTTCCCTCTTGGGCCCTGCCCGGTGCCCGTGGCCGAGGGCTGGCCCTGGGTGGGAGTTGCAGGGCGGACCCGGTGAGATCTGCTCCGGGGATGCTTCCCTTCCTTGTGGTGGGGCAGGGGCGGCACCGCCAACCCCTGTGCTGCCACTTTCAGGCTGACCCTGGGCAGGTGACCTCATCTCTCCCAGCCTCAGGTTCCCTCCTGCAAAATGAGGTCTGACCGCTCATCTCAGTGGAAC